ATTAGTGATGTTGAAAGGCTGACTCTTAGGCATGTTAGTACTTTATCTTGTTCTTAACTGGGGGAAATGATTTGCTTGTAAATGGATCAAATCGGGTTCAGAAGTTAGAATGACAATACAGACTCATTTGACAGAGTTGAAATGAGCTCTGACCAGTTTTATTTTGAAAACTTTCATAATCTCTATCTCAGAAAATAGCTGGAGAACACTTTAATTTTTCTCTGCATATTTTCATTAAATTACCTATGTACATAAAAAGCTAATACCTCTGACCTTTCTGTTTCAAAATCCAAGATAAAAAGCTGGATTACAGTCAAATGCCTTGTAATTTCTCTACTACTGAATAAATAAGTTAGTAGAAGTTTTGTCAATAGCAGATAAGCATGAATCAAGTACTTTTACACAACATAAAAATGGAACGCTCTAAATAGTTAAAGCTAGTTTTTTAGCAAGTAGATTCTTGTTCTCCCTCCTGGGTTTCTTGATGGTCATGATTTTTCTCCAGAAACTTTAAATTATACCTAGTTTACAGTCGTTAAAATCATGTGTATTTATAGACTAAATATTACCATTTGCCTTAGAAGCCTGGGAATAGCACCAGATGCATATTAATCTATGGCTGTACACTAGCTACCCCTTTAATTGCTATCTTTGTGAATGAGAACAGCAAACAGCTGCTGATTTGCATTTTGAAAGTGATGTTCTTCTGAGACACGGATTTGTGCAAAATCGTATTCTAATTGGAATTATTTTCACTGTCTCATGTAGGGACAGTCTCTCCAGATTTCCAGCATCCCTGCCTGCTGTGGTGTTTGTTTGTTTGTTTCTGTTTTGTTTTTTGGGTTTTTTTGTTTGTTTGTTTTGTTTCCTGTTTTACTACAATCATTTGAAGGCCTAAAATGAGTAGAACAAGCAACACTGAGCTTGAAAATGAAGGCCATCCAGATAAACAGTATGTTTCTTTGTGTACCAGGGATAACATTTGCTAAGTGTGAGGTGAAATATAATGACAGAACATATTTTCCTTCTCCCTCTAGGACTCAGTAATATCTGTAGTTACTTAAAATGAAAGACATGAATATGGCTGCATTCTAAGATTTCTAATTTCCTGGTGGTTTGAAAAAAACCTCCTTCCTGCTTTACCAAAACCTTTGTTATACCAAAGTAACATTGCATAAAGCAAGCCCTATTTGTATACCTTTAATGGTATTGCCCATCTTTGTTGTGTCTAAGAATATTTTCCCTTGAAAAGGTTATTCTGAAATCTTTTGATTGTCAAAGCTCTATGACATTTAAGTAATCAAATTATCAATGCTACCTTGTGTTATTTTTTATTATTATTGTGTAGCACTTGGCTGTTTCATTTCACAATTATCTGGGGACACTTTTGACGCCACTTGAAGTCTGACTGGATGTGGCAGAGTAAATTAACTTAGGGTCTTTCTCAGAAGGAACCACTGTGTCAGCAGCAACAACACCACAACCACTATGGCAAAACACAGTGCCCAGTTTCAAAATCAGCTCACAAAGGTACACACAGCCCACTGTGGGTGGTCAGGAGTTTGCTCTGTGTGAGGATTAACTCCTTCCTTCCTCTGACCTGGCTAGAGCATCTAAGCCAGTTTGTATGGTTAGAGCCTCAGGCAGGTGGGAGAGCCATACCATTCTTCTACAGAAATTGCTGGTACTGACACACCTTGGGCATTCAGAGGAGGTTGCCATTGGGGGACCTCTGTTTTAGGCATAATCTACTGGAATTCACGAACTTAAACTCATAACCCCTGCAATAAAATGAGGCAAGCCACAAGGCAGAAAGCTGGAGGAGGTGTCTGGAAAATGAAACAAGGAGTTGTTAAAGAAAACTCAAAACACTAACTTCTGGTTTGTTGGAAAACGCATTACTCCACCAAGAACCTGCTTCTCTGCTGCGTACAACAGGGCTAGCATCAGATTATTGAAAAACCAATCAAATTATACCCTCCCCTAGATAGTCACATTTGTATTTTAAATGAATTGACAGAGGAATCACAAAGGCACCAAAGCTGCCATCAGCAAGATGGGATTGGGTTTCGGAGAGAGGAGTGTGTAAGTGTGGGGAAGAAGAGTGTGCAGTGGGTGTTAGTGCTAGGATAGCTTTAATATTCAGAGTAGTTGGGTGGGATTTGGCAGTATTGTCTTCTGAAGGATAAGAAATTAGTCTCCTCTATGTCTGAAAACATTTTGGCCTGTAATCATATCCCACAGGGCATTGTGAGTCCTGCCTTCATGTAGCTGCAGTATGTGCAGACTGACTGGCTCTTGAGGCCCAACAGACTGTATCTGTCATCCAAAGATTCTTCTGTCAGTGAAGAGTAAGTGTTTGGGAATATTCTGCTGTCTAGTCAGTGCTTTCATGGATCTTTTTTGAGTCCAAGCCTGTGTCATACGCCCTTCTGCCTGCTAGGTGCTGCAAACCTTAAGCTGTACAGACTTTTCTGCTCTGTCAGTAATGGGTCACTGTTTGGAACAGATTCCGCTACAGAGGTGGGAGAGACCCTCCAAGCTGTATTTGAACAGTTAGAACAGCAGTATGTAAAAATTGTGCTGAACTGGTAAGAAAGCACTTACTGAGGACATTCAATTGTAACTCTTAGTTAAAAGAGAAAACCGTCCTTTTTCTCCTGCTCATGTTTTGTGTGGAAAGTTTATTCCAGTACTTGCCTTCTTGAATGTGTCCTGCATGTGAAACAGGTGGGTGGAAAATGGGGTTGGCAGTCTATCTGGGGTCTGAGGCCATAAAGAGGACCAACCTCAGTAGAGGAGGTTCTGGATTTCTCTATGTGGCAAGAACCTGCTGAGCTGCATGCATGAATATCTCATCTGTGGGGTACATGCAAGCTTCTTCAGACCGACAAATCAGGATGTTCTATATCTTGAAATGTTGGGTGGTCATAAACATTTAAATCTTTAAATGGATCTAACTGAATGAATGTAAACTGCTGGACCAAGCTGCATATTGTAAATGAAGTGCAGTTGTTCTTTCTCTCTTTTATTTACCTGCCACCACCTCACTGAACTGCAGTGGGGGTGTGAGAGAGTGACTTCCTTTGCTTTCAGGACTCTGGTTCTGTTGTTGCTTCCAGAAGGACAACGTAAATTCATGCCACCTTACAGTGGTAAATCAGCTGCTGCTTCTCAGTGAATGCCAGGATTGTGTCTGCTGCAGTGTGTGTCATCCACAACAGCAAGTATCTATTGCATTCAACTCATGGGGCTCAGCTGTGCCTTAAAGTCATGGTTTAGTTTTTAACAGCTGATCAGTGCACAGTTCCTACAGAATGAAATGACAGATGGGCTTATAATACCTTTGTCTGGAGATAGAGAATGAGAAGGGCAACTTGGTTACTAATTACCTTCTCATCACTGAAAGGAAGAATGGCCCAATGCTTGACACACTGTGCATGGACGTGGCAAAATTAATGAACTTTTTTACCCTCAGCTGTCTAAGGAGTGAGCTTCAAACACCATTGTCTCCAGCATGACTGAGCTTTGAGTATGGCCATTTACATTCAATAGGGCAGCACAGAAACATCATGGGTGTTCAGAAATACTAAAATGTGCTTCTGCTGTCAGGCTGTTTCACAGCAAGAGTGTTGTGCTGCTGAGCAGCAGTCATTTCCATTGCTTCTTTTTATTACTGTGTTTACTCTGTGTGTGTCTGAGTATCAATTAAATAACTTCCAGATGTATTGTTCAGATTCCTGATTTTTAACTGCTAGGGCTATTCTTATGTAGAAAGAATATTCCTGATATGCAGCCACCTAATGCATGAAATGCTGATCCTGTTCAATGTTCTTGTTGCTATTTGTTATTTAGTTCTAGGGATGAGATTCTCACACGTGCAGAAGTCCAGTCATGTGAGAAGTCTCAGTACTCGCAGGAAGTAGGGAGCACCTGGAGGTGAACCAAGATGTCAGATGTGTGTCCTAATAATGGCTGTATGAACCTTCTCTTTAAATGATGTCTAAATTTCGTTATAGTTAAGTGCTGATAAGATCCTTTGCATGAAAAGTCTTTATGAGATATTATCTATTACACATTTCATTTCAGGGTTTTTACAGAATGTTTCTCTATCATTTATGTTCTCTGACAGGCCTATTATTATTTTAACAATTCAATAAACAGATACATTAGATGCTGTAGTATAGTTTATCACTTAATCCTACACCTAGAGAAGCTTTTGGCTTGGAAGTGTCTGCAAAACTGATGACATTTATGAGCTCATACTCCAGATATCCCCACTAATTCTTGACATAATGGAAGATGATTACAGAAGTGGTAGAGGGAGAAATAGTAAACCAGCGTTTACTAATGCTGGCGTTTTACCAGCGTTGCTCACCTAAGTGTGAAAATAGGAGTCACTTGCAGTGCTACATTTGGAAAATACAATTGGGACACTGATAGGTAAGCTATCAGTGCAAGGGGAAACTGAAAACTTGAGGAGGACAGATGCTGCTAATATTCAAGAAATCATCTTAGGCTGTTTTCATTACTTTGAAAGCTGGTGAAAAACTGATTTCAGCAATGCAGTCAATGTAGTGAGCATTCTGTAAGAAGTTTGATTTTTAAGACTGCCCTGGCAGCAGAGAAATGGCCAAACCTTAATTACAGCGTTTTTGGGTTTTTTTCCCTTTTGTCTGGTTTGTTTTCAGCAAGGGTCTGGCCAGTTGCAGGAGTCCCATCTTCTTGTGGGTCTAATTCAGAGTTTCTGGGCTGTATGTCTGAAGAACATCATTTAGATATCTCATGAGCACATAAGCTCGTGAACCTAATATTGCCAATAAAAAAAATGTTGTTTTAATCTGAGCCTTTTTTTTTCTTTCAAAAACAGCTTCCTTGCAGGCATATTTCACTGCCTACTTTTTGTTACTTTCAACCTTTTCAGTTCTTTAGTTAGCTTTGCTGATTCATTTCTTTTCCTCCAGCTTCTCTGTTTCAGCCTCACATCCAAAGCTCTGCTCCTATCCGTGTTGTGGCAAGGAGCGAGCTCCACCTTCTCCACAGCATTCAGAGATTTTCTTCATGGCTCTCCGCGTGAAGTCCACCTTCCCCCTCTCTTTCTTGAGAGCAGTGTACTCGTAGGCTTTCAGTTTGCTGTAATAGTCTGAGAACTTGTTGTAGAGGATGGAGATGGGCATGCCGTTCAGGATTATCCCAAAAGCAATGCACAGGAATGCAAACAGGCGGCCGAGGTGAGTTTCTGGACACATGTCTCCGTATCCCACAGTGGAGATGCTGACCTATGGGCAAACCAGCATTCAGCTTATTAGCAGGGAGGCTGCATACAGGCACTTATTTCCTCAGCACTTCTGTAGGTATGTGCAGTGAGCAGGGGCAATTCTGAAGTTGATGAGAACACACGTCCTCTGTGTCTAAATCTAGCATGCTTATAGAAACCAGTATTTTGGGACTTACTGTGTAGGTTTTATTGTGAGTATTAATATTGATTATCATGTATATACAAGTATTACGTACAATGAAAAATATGTGAAAAGCTATTTGTGAAATGTATTTCTGTAATGTGAGCACCACTGGAAGAAGTGATCCAGGAGAATGAAGCGTATATATATAACGATACGATTGACTGAATCTTTGAATGATACGAGGAGCTATGGAAAAAAAGTAAAGATCTTAATTGCCTAGAAGGCTGTGCACGCTTACAATATGTATATATTTATAGTGATAAATTGCTTGATCTGCCTCATCCTTTTTATGTCAGAGGTTAAACCAGTGTAGTCTGTGCATACCTTCAGTGGGGAATGTTCCTGTTTGTTTCGGATGATGGGTATACAAAAAGCTTCTCCTGAATTCACCCCTTTGAAGAAGTTTTGGGAGTTGTTGAAAATGCTTCTGTTTGTGTGGGGGGGAGAGGGGGGAAGGGGTGTGGTGGTATTTAATGTATCTGTTTTATATGAATCTGTGAATTTTCCTTTCACGTGTACTTCACAGAGGTTTTTTTGTATTTTTTTTCTGAGCCTTCAAGATTTTCTCTTTTTAGATTACGTGTGTATGAACAAGCTTTGATGTATGGGCCCATTATTCCTATTCAAGAGGTGTTTTTCAGCCAATGAACTTTATTTAATCTTCTTCTCAGTATCTAAAGAGAATGCATGTATCTACAAAATGGTGATATAAAACTTCTGTAGGAATATACCACCGGAAATAGGAGTTTCACTATAATGCCCTTGTGGCTTTAGCTCTGAGTATAAGTCTTAAGAAGGTCATAGAGTGTAGTCTTCCATCTTCTAACATGCTAAATAAAATGTTATTTCAAATGAAGTAAGCATTAGGGTACATGAGACAGCACCAGATAAGCGTATTTGTAGGATGCACCTTGTGCTTCCTGCAGAATAAAAAGGATTAGTCATTTGGTTTAATGGAAATTAAGTCACTGGATTTGAATGATAATACAGGATAAATATCTCCAAAAATAAATACTGAGATGAAGGCAAGATGTTTATCTCTAGCAGCCAGGACAAAACCATTATCCTGTGATAAGGTTCTGTTCCACTGGCACAGTCTTCTAATCACTGTGACAGTCTGGGAGGAACATGTGTTCTCTCCTGTGGGTCAGATTGCAGACGTTGTTGGATTTTGATGAAATTTAAGTAATCTGGATATCTCAGTTTTTATTCTTAATGAATTAATGGGCTCTAAAAAAATGTTTTATGCCATAGAATTTCAGTGTGCAAGCTACAGCATCTCTTTTTGAGACACTTGCTAAGTAGGAATTTCTTAAATAGTCATTGTTACATGGGTTTCAGAGCACTACCTAAATAGTCATGGCATTATCAGCTTGCAGATGTGATCTCTAATGCTTTTTGCGTGTATCCTGCATATTCAGAAAATCACTGCAGACATATGGGGAACTTCCACATTTCATCAGCCACTGTTGAAACAGAACTGTTGGCCACAGTCTCCCCAGAGGCTGCCCAGGAAAGTGTTCTCAGACAGGTTGGTCTTGCTGTGCTGTGTGCCCTGTGCTGAGCTGATCATCCAGGATGAGGTTTCCTGACTCCTCTGAAGTTTTTTTTGCCTGGGCTTTTTTCCCTGGAAAGTGCCCCAGAGCCGTGCCTTAAATGTGGATTATGCAGGATGGGATCAGTTGCCATGAGATGAAATATAGAAACTCTGCATATGGCAACAGGCTAAAACAAGTCGCAGAGTAGTGGGAAACGAAGACACACCCAGCTCCCCTCTGACTTGATTCAGGCTGCTGTAGGCACAGCTGCTATGGCATAACAGAGCTGCTGTTTTCTCTCTCTCTTTTTTTTTTTTTTTTTAATATTGCTAGTTGTGACTGAGAGGGTTTTTTTCCCCCTCTCCTCAGCGCCTGGGAAAAAACCACCATCTTTTCCCTGCCAAAACGTTGCTGTAGAGATGATAATTGAGAAGCTGAGAAGCTGCCATACCTGAGCATGAAGATTATCTACTAAGCATTTACTCAAAGCCTGTGGCTCCCTCTCCCAGCTTTCACTGTTTGTTAGCCCCAATAAACCCGCAGGTGTTTCTTTTGTATTGGCAGCTCATCTTGAAGGATATAGCTATCATTTTAATTGTCCATTACACTGAGAAAATAGGGTTAAACTGTTGTAAGTAAATGCACGACCATCCTTGATGGCAAACACTTCTGAGGTGAGTTTGGGAAGCTGAATCATTCTGCCATAGCCACGAAACATTTAAGCAAGGGAGCGGGCATTAAGCTCTCACCGTTCTGTGTTCCTGGCTATAATTTAATGCCCCCACAAGATGTGAACTTACCTTAGTCTGGAAAACACTGCCTTAGAAACATCTCTCCATATAACACAGTGCATTACAGGTCAGTGATAGTTCAGACCTCAAGGTGATGTGCTCAAATGTGCATCACCCCAGTGGCAGACTCTAGAAATGAGGTCATTCTGCCTTTCTTTCTGAGGCTTGCCAGCAGAAGCTCAGTCAGTAACCACCACTCCAGTTGTTTTGAGAGGGACTAAAATCACACTCTTTCTGGCAGAGGCTGCAAAAAATATTCAAGATGACATTAACCAGCCACTAACCATCCCTCCCTGATATGGGATGCAGACAGATGACCTAGATGTAGAGGGCAGTTTATCTCAGCTCCCTGAGCTATTCTGCTTATTTTGTATTTATTTCTCTGCAAGACTGGCATACATTAAATAATCACCAATGTGTCTATGTGTACAAACGTATCATGAAAATGGCACTTAAGGAGCAGGATGCAACAGCTGCTGGTCCTAATGAATTTTAATGGCCAGAGCTCTGGGATGGTTTAACTTTTCAAATGTGACTGTCCAGAGTACCATGAAAAACAAAAAACACGTCTTACCCTCTTGCAGTTACATGATGGATCACAGTATGTCTTCAAAAACAGCAGGAATGAAAGTCTCATGTCAACCTGCAATCAGTTAGACTGATATACACTGTTTGGTTTGTTCTGGTAACACTGACAACAGAATTCAGTGGAAAAATGCTTTTCTGTGTTATTTTGCACCCTTCTTTAAAAGGCAAGTACTGCCTGCATTTGGTCAGATGGGAATGTCAGTGCCAGCAGCCTGATTAAGTCCTGATTAAAGCTTACAACAGAGGTGAATGAGTGCATGCATGTGTGTGCGTGAGTGAGTGCATATGTCCTGTAAGCTCAGAATTCAGAGCAGATGTTCACTGACCTGGGTCTTTTGTTTTCAAGACTGTCAGCATCTCTATCATGGGAGGGGAGAGGAAGGAAGGATAGGGAAAGGAGGGAAGAGAGGGAAGAGGAAGGAAGGGGAAGATCTCTGGCTACCGAGCAAGGCGAGTTGAGTTTACTTACGGCAGCCCACCACCAAGCATGGGGGATGCTGGTGAAGTTGGTACTGGATACATCATGCTCCACTGTGTAGACCATGGCAGAGAAGGCGAAGATGCCCATGGCAATGAAGAGCAAAAGGCAGCCCACCTGCTGGTAGCATTGACGCAAGGTAAAGCCAAAGGCACGCAGCCCTGTGGAGTGGCGGGCCAGCTTGAGGATGCGGAAGATGCGCATGAGACGCATGATACGAAGCACTTGTCCCACTTTGCCCACCCGTCCCACCTTCTCGATATCATACTCATGCTGAGAGCCCCGACCTCGGGGCTGGTCATCATCAGTGAAGCATTCAAGCAACAGCTGCAGGTAGAGGGGCAGGATGGCAATGAGGTCTACAGCATTGAGGGCGCTGCTGGCAAAACGACGCAGGTCTGGTGTGGAGACCAAGCGCAGCAAGTACTCCAGCGTGAAGAACACGATGCACAGAGTCTCAATGTGCTCCAGGACAGGCCGACTCTCTCCACTCTTATTGTCTACCTGCTTCATCTCCTCCACTGTATTGAGCGCCAGAGCCACCACAGAAATGAGCACAAAGAAGCTGGAGGCCACTGCCATCACTTTGGCAGTGACGGAGGAGAAGGGCTTCTCCATGAGGTTCCAGAGGCGCCAGCGCTGGGGCCCATAGTAGCGCATGTGATGGAAGAGCTGCTCATTCTCCTGAGCCTCTGCCTGGGAGCGCAGCTCACGCTGGACTTTCAGCTGCTCGCTCAGCTCGTCGCGACGCTCCTCAAAGCAGATGCGGCAGCAGCGGGGTGTGTATTTGAGCCGCACGCCCCAGTAGCTCAGCTCCTCCAAGAAGCTGCGTGGGCACAGCTCATCCCGCACCTGGAGCACCCCTGAAGCATAGAAGTTGTACACCAGCTGAAAGACAGCTGGGTCTCGGTCAAAGAAATACTCATCCACCTGGGCGGCGTAGTCATCGCACAGGCCCAGCTGGCAGCGACGGTCTGTGGAAGTGGCCAGGCGGCCCAGGCGGGTCTTGGGATAGGTGGCCACTGCCTGGTAGGTGAGACGGTAGCTCTGGCCACCAACATTAATGTTCAGCACGGATGAAGTGGAAGGCCTGGTTGGGGCCCCAGGGGAAAAGACTGGGGAGAAAGTAATGGATGATGAGAGCTTGTTTTCTCCTTCAAATGGGTCCCCTGTTGGCCATTTTCCTTGGTCTTTTTCTTCTTCTTCCTCATCTTCATCATCCACGTAATAGTTGTAGTTTCCCTCCGGTCCAAGGAGCAGCATGGGCTGAGAGCTCAGTGGAGCAGTTCCAGAAAAATCACTCTGCTTGTCTAAACACACACCTTCATTATCCTTCCCCATGTTGGGCTGTGTGAAGACACTTGATACTTCCCTTTCTCTTCCTTTATGTTTAAGGAAAGGAAATTGTCTCCTCATGTTAAACTGCAACATTCTGTTTCTCCTTGCTTTTCTCCCTTATTTTCATCCACTTGGTTGAGAAATTAGCATCAGTCCTTTCTGGCACTAATAGGACAGAGAGTACCGCTTTCTTCTCTCTTTACTGGTATCAAACACAGCAGCAGTTCTGCATTTTTCCTCTTGCCAGTTGCCACTTCAGTTGCTATGAAAGCTGAGTGTGGGATATAGACACATGAAGACTGCTGTTGACCGTTTTAATCTTGCTGACAGGGAAGATTTGAGTGCTTAGAGAAGGGGATTTAAAGGCTATTATCCTGTTTCAGCCTCATCTCCCTCAGGCTGTGACGTGAATGATTATGGATCCATAAACATATGAAAATTCAGTATGGTAAAAAAAAATCCTAAAAGTCTATTGATAATAAAAAACATATATTTCCCTAATTCAAGATTATAAGGATTAGGAATAATCTGAAAGTGAAAATATCTGAGGAGCAGAGAGGAGAGGGAGGGAACACTACTCCTTTCATTCATCTACATGAGTATATGGGGGTCTTAGTTCTCCTTAATTAAAATTATGAATAATTAAAATGCAGATATTGTGTGGAAATTCATTATCAAAGGTCTTAAAGTGCTTTCCAAAGGTAAGAAAATAAATACAAACAGACTGTGTCCCATGCTCTTCTTGACACAGCGTAAGTAAAGGAGAACATGTGCATAAGTTTCTAGCATGCTTTGCTTCAAACTCATCTTGAGATGCTGCAAAACAGAGCAAAATTTCTACCTTTGGCTGCACCCTCACTGGTACAGAAGGCTGCAGTGAATGCCTGGAGCACCTGAAAGCCCAACTTTTTTTCTGTTGCTTCTAAGTCAGGACAAATTCTTGTTGAATCTTGAGCTATCATGTTAAACATCCCAGCAATCCTGCAACAGCAGCTTTATTAAAACATTGGCAAATTTGAAAACTAACCTGAGGCACCAAGAATAAAGGTAGGTATCCTGGTTTCAGCCCTTGCTCCTTAAACATATATGCCTTTTCCCAAGTATCTCAATGCAAAAACATTCTCTCAGTCTCATAGCATGACATTCAAGTTTCTGTTCAACATTTTTTTCATCTTTGGCCATGTTACCTTTGTGTTTCTTTCTGCTCAGTGTCACAGCTTCACCATGCCTGGCTTCCCCGTCAGTAAGGGGCCTAACAGCAGCTAGTTCTAGGTGGGTTTCCCATGCTGATGACTGCTTTTCAAAAAGGCAGGTAGGCCTGGACTGAACCAACACTATGATGTGGTCCGCAGCACTGCTATGGTCAGACCACTGCCAGTAGCATAAACCTTGTGTCTTTGCACCTGGGGCAGACATAACCAGGGCAAATTTGAATGCTCATCTTCAGGCCCAGGAGGAAGGTGTGATCTGGAAATGGACCAGCTGCTGCAATTCAGAGATTTCTCAAACATAGGCAGCAGGTACTCCAAGAAGCTGTTCTAGTCTGATGTGGCTGAGTTCTGCCCCAGCTTGAGATCTTACACATGCTGCAAAGTGATGCTGTTGGAAAAAGCCATAAAGTGAGAGTTTTGAGGCTTATTAATTTGACTGATATAACTGGAAAAAAAGATGAGCTGTTTTCAAGCAAGTGTATCTTCAGGGTCTGATTTTGTCAGCTGTTGAGCAGAAAGTGTTACTTCTGCCATATCTCACCTCATTAATATCCTTATTGGTACTGTAGCCATGAAAGTCTGCCCCTTGGACGTGATGCATGTACATAGCTTGCCTTGTGTAAAAGCAAGTGTTGCACAGTGCCTGAACCTGTGTATTGCTAAGAGCTTTCCATCTGCAATCCTTCAGCCTTTCTTCTCTCACAGCTTCTGACCCTTTTTCACAAGCTGTCAGGACATTCTATCCCTGCTCACCTGTGGCAGTATTTTTCCTTTGTTGTTCTCCACTCCTGCTGTTGTGTTGTTAATCTCAAGTATTTTCCTGCAAACTCAGTAATTTTGTTTTGGTGGTATTTTATTTACTGTAAGACCTAAACTTTTCCCCCTTTTTCCCTACCTCCTGGTTGTAGCTTTAATGTTTACTTGGTCCTGATGAGCAGAAAGATATAATAGCTGAGAATTTTTGCACTGCATCTGTTCTCAGACTGTATCCTGATGGATCAGTGGATCATAGTGCGTAGACCAAGGCTTCTTCAGGTTACACTGTTTAAGGCATGCATTATTAGCAGTTCATATTCAAGTGTGTTTGGAAATGTTTTGCTTCATAAGTTCTTCTCCACTGTCCATTCTGTTTCTTCATTCAAAAAAATGTAACGCTTATACTAATTAGAAATGTCAGTGCCTTATTATTACAGGCTCTCATCTGCTCTGCAGTTTGCTTTGAACATTAAAACATGTCATGGTTAGTCCTTTGTTACCAGTCTTAATACAAATTAATGAACATTTCAGTGCTGTTTCTTTCGCCTTAGCAAATTACTTCAGGCATAAGAAAAACACTAATTGGAAATACTGTCATTTCACTACCAAAAATTCTTGAATATTTCTTAATTAAGATTCAGGTGAGAGTATGTTAATACTGCTTTTCCCAGCCTTTGCTGTAACATTTTGTTTTGCTTTTTGCTGGTCTGCACAGTCCCAGTTCTGAGATGTCTATGGAAATGCTCATTGCTCACTACTCGTACTGTACTGCAGCAGCATCAGCCTCTAGCAGGTGGAACTGATGTCTGTCAGATGCTAGCACTTTGTGACATTCCTACTAAGGAGAACAAGAAAGGCCACTAGCAAGCTAATGACTCTAACCTAGATATTCTTGGGAGGGAAATTCTCAGACACCTGAGGGTCTCTGCTTGAACTTGCCCAAATAGAAAAAACAGGTAAAATTAGGTTTCGCAGTCACTCATCCCCAGTCTAGTTAGTTAGGACATTTTTCCCCCTTCATTTTTTTTCCTTGGCTACCTTATTTGTTTTGTAGGTGGGATGCAGAGGAGCAAATTAGGAAACATAAAGTAGAAGGATCAGCTGCTATTTTTTATATTGCATATTGCCAGGCTTCTACTACTCACTGTCGCTTGTAGTGGCTCATTCATAAATATTAATGTCTCCTCATACACAGGCAGTTGGTGCCAGCCCTGCAGTGAACACAAAAAAAAACTTTAAAAAGCAGACAACAGCATCAACAAGAACAAATTGTACTCACTGCTTGTGAATGAATATCAGCTCTATGTAGGGAAGATGGAAATACCATGGAAGCAGAGGCCACACCGTGATGCTCACATACCACATACTGGTTTTTGGGCAGTGGGTGGTGTTAGGCCTTTATAGTGTATTGCCACAAAGAGAAAACTGTAGGTGAAACTCTGCAAGGAGGAAGGACTATCACTACACAGCCATTGGAGGCAGCACAGTGATCCTTAGTGATGCGCCAATGGTGAGGTTTCTGTTACAATGTGATATGATATGTACAAGTGCCAAAGCCTCAGGACAGCCATTTCTCCTGATTTATGTGCTCTCACACAGCATCAGTAGAAATGCTGATCCATTATGTATGCTGATCCATTATGTAGAATTTACTGAAATCAGCAACTGGAAAATGTCAGTTCATGCACTTTGCATTCAAGAGGACCACTCAGACTTGGAAAGTTCCAAAGGAACTTGGTTCTGGACGTATTTTTCAAGAATTTGGACAGCCTTCTCCAAGTTCCTTCCTTCCTTTAACAAATATGCCCATTCCAATAGCTTTGTTCTTAGTTTCTTTTTCTCCTTTCCTAGATGGCCCCTTCTGAGCCTTTCATCTCCCAGCACTCCAAGTGATTTCCAAGTGGTAGTATGCTAGCACAGCTCAGTCATCTTTTGAACCTCTGCTTGCAGCTTTGCACCTGCATTTTCCTTGCATGCAGGTCTCATGCTGCCTCCCAAATCTGAAAGAACATCCTGGGATCTGCCAGGTCTGTGGGGAAGGAAGGAGGTCCTCCTCAGTACAGGCACATCCAGCTTCACACCTGAGCTTGAGCACTGTCTTTGAGGAGAGGAGGAGGCAATACCATATGAGTTGGACTGATTTTTAAGTTCATAACCTATAATGGATTTCATAAGAGTTTGCCACTGCAAAATTCTGTCTCTCTGTCAGACTGGGACTGTGGCTGGACTGCCTCTGTTCTCTGTGTTGTATTCCGGGGCTGGACCTTACTTCCTTCTCTGCCCATGATGTACCTGCATCATATTCTCCTTGCCCAGTCTGTCCCCATGCTCCACAGCAGCAGGCCTTGGCACTGGCACTCTTCAGTCCTCACTCAGCCGTGTACTTACCCCAGAGATGCTCTCGCCTGCAGAGCCCAGAGCTGGAGAGCCCACCTCTTGGGTCATGTTAAGAGAGTGCAGTGTGCTCAGTGAGTGTTTAGTTCACTGTGTGCTCTGCTTTTTAGCGTACAAATTGAAATGTTTTGCTGCAAAATTATTAGCATTTCTTTATAGATATGAAAGGCTGGTTAAAAACAAGCAAACTACTCCTGGGACTTTTTGATGAAATTAAATAACCTCGCAGTGGAAAAAGAGATTTTGCTGAGATACATCCATTAGTGCTAACTTCACATTCCAAGAGGTATTTGCATAACACAAGCAGAGTCTTGTAGTAAAACCTTATCTACAGTGTTGCATACCAAAGAACACAACAATTCAGGGGCAGAGAAAGATTTTGCTGCTTGGATTTTAGCCAGATTTTCTGCATGTAATTGTTTGTACACACACATATTTATGCAAATGTGTGAAAATCTGTCAACAAGATTGCTGTCCTTCTCACAACCATGTACCATTTGTAAATCACTTTAATAGAGTGAGTTTGTCAGGCATTTCATGAGTATAGGTTTGAGTGGTTTTAACAGGTTATTAGCTTAATCTTCTGTTCTGCTCTCTCCACACGCTGCACAGCACTGGCTTAAACTTTCTGAGTTCCTCTGC